GGCCCAAGGACTTGGGCCATCCTCCACTGCCTTCCCGGGCCATAGCAGAGAGCTGGCCTGGAAGAGGGGCAACCGGGACAGAATCCGGCGCCCCGACCGGGACTAGAATCCGGTGTGCCAGCGCTGCAAGGCGGAGGATTAGCCTAGTGAGCCGCGGCGCCGGCAGGATCCACATTATTAAGACACCGGAATTGGAAGCACAGCCAGGGCTCTTTTTGCTTTTCAAATAAAAATGAAAAATAAAAAGTTCTTACAAATCATGAGTGAGTGATTAATTTCATTAAAAGCTTTTTCTATAAATTCTGAAATTATCTTTTTTTTTTTTTTTGCTGTATTCTGGATGATGGACTATAATGATTTTTGAATGTGAAACTAACTTGTATAAATATTTTTGGTTATATATTTATAGTGGTTATAAACCAGTATGTTGCTATATTCAATTTGCTAATATTTTGTTAAGATTTTTTTAAAGATTTATTTATTTATTTGAAAGTTACAGTTACACAGGGAGAGAAGGAGAAGGAGAGAGAGAGAGGTCTTCCATCCCCTGGTTCACTCCCCAACTGGCCGCAATGGCTGGAGCTGTGCTGATCTGAAGCCAGGAACCAGGAGCTTCCTCTGGGTCCTCTCTTGTGGGTGCAGGGGCCCAATGACTTGGGCCATCCTCTATTGCTTTCCCAGGCCATAGCAGAGAGCTGGTTTGGAAGTGGAGCAGCCGGGACTTGATCCAGCGCCCACACAGGATGTTAGCACTGCAGACGGTGGCTTTACCCGCTACGCCACAGCGCCGGCTCCTTGTTAAGATTTCAGTGTCCATCTTCTTCATGAGGGATAGAGGTTAAAATGCCTTTTTTTTGGTAATATTTTTACTCAAGTTTGGTATCACAGTTATGCTGGTTAAGTCATGTTTCTCAAGAGATTTGTCCATTTCAATTGCCATTTGACACAGAGTTGTTCATAACAGTATCATCCTTTTCATAACTAAGATTTGTAGTGATATCTCCTCCTTCATTGCAGATTATGATACATTTTTTCCCTTGCTAGACAGTTTATCACCTTCAATTATCTTTCTAGGGAACAACTATTTGGCCTTACAAATTTTTCCTATTGTTTGCCTTCTGTCTGCTTCACTGATACCTGGTCTTATCTTTGTTATTTCCTTCTTCCTTTTTAACTCTTGGCTTCATTTGCTCAATCTCTTAAAAAGCTTTTTGAGGTGGAAGGATGCATTCTTAATTTTAAACCTTTTTCAGTCTAATATAAACAGCTAAAGCTATAGATTTCTGTTTTAGCTGAATCCCCCAAATGCTGATATGTTTAGGATTTTCAATTGCAATCACACTGTAGTGTTTTCTTCTTTGGCCCAGGAATTATTTATGCATTAAATATTTGGAGATTTAACAATATAACTTATTGATATGATTTTCTAATTTAACCCCACTGTAGTCAGAAAACATATTTTGCAAAAGTTGAGCCTTTTGAAATTCATGAAGCTTAGTTTTGTATATCAGCTAAAATCTGATTTAGTGAATGCTCCATGTGTACTTTAAAGAACGTGTGTACTGCAGTTGCTGGGTAGAGTATTTTACAAACATCAACACAATCAAGGTAGTTAATGTCATTCAGATCTTTTATATTCTTTTAAATTTTTATAGTTTTTCTATAAACTATTAAAAAATATGTTAAAAACTCTTGTGATTGTAGAATTGTATATGTTGAATACTATAATTTTTTATTTAAACAATAAAATATCTTTTTTTTTTTGACAGGCAGAGTGGACAGAGAGAGAGAGACAGAGAGAAAGGACAATAAAATATCTTTTAATAATTTTTAAAAATTTATTAGACTGAGCTTTCATCTGCTGGTTCACTCCCCAAATGCCCGCAACAGCTGGGGGTGGCCCAGGCCGAAGCCAGGATCTCCAGTTCTTCCACATGGGTGGCAAAGAATCAAGTGCTTGAGCCATCGTCTATTCTCCCCAGAGAGTGCATTAGCATGAAGCTGGAATTGGAAGTGGAGTCAGGATTCAAACCAGGCATCTGATAGGGCGGGCTGGCACTGTAGCACAGTGGGTAAAGCCACCACCTGCAATGCCAGCATCCATATGGGTGCTGGTTCAAGACCTGGCTGCTCCTCTTCCAATCCAGCTCTCTGCTGTGGCCTGGGAAAGCAGTACAATAGGTCCGCAAGTGCTTGGGCCCCTGCACCTGCA